ACCAACCTTCTAGCAGGATAGGAAACACCCCAGGGTGTCTCCTTCTCACCCCAAGGAGACCTCAATCCCAAGCACCCCGCTTCGGAGTGCAGCCCCCACCTCCTGGGGCCATATGAAGAACCAGAGCCTCCGTGACCCTCCTGGCTGATGGCACAGCATACGGCACCCGAGACAGGTGAGGTTGCTTCGAGAAGAACAGATCCGTATGGAGGATGTTTTCCTGCTGGGACAAGCATAGGCTTCCTCCCCCCGACGTGTAGATTTCTATATTTTCAGCTCTTCCCCGATGAATAGTGCCCCCAGCGTGGGTCATTGGAGCCCCCTGCTGAGCACATCTCAGTACCAGCAAAGAAGGATGAATAATGTTTTGGAAAAACGAACTGAATGATTTTGGGGGCAGCTGAGAAGCTGTGATTTGAAAAAAGGCAAGAAAATATACAAATAAACGTCACGTGTCAAGGCATCAGTGTGAGATTTAGCCACCAGTATGTTTTGGAAGCGGTCCCAAACCCAGAGCTGGGGTCAGCGCTGAGGTTGAAGAGGTTTGCAAAGCTTTTGTCTCTCCTGTTCTGCCTTTAATTACAGCTGTGCTCCGTATAGCACTTCTTAAATTGTGGGGTGTCAGCTATATTCCAGCCTAAAAATTAGATGAGGCTCTATTTATTTTTTCCTTTCAGGCAGCCACATCCTGCACTCATCTGGTGCCTTCCTCTGCCAAGACATCTCAAGGAGATTTAAGTGATGGGCAATAATACACTCATCACCAACAACCTTTACAGTGCCAAGGTCTCTTCCTCCATCTGCTGCGTTTTCAAGAGCCCATCACATGCTGAAGACGTCCCTGCCCGGGGAGATTCCCATCTTCACCTTTCTTCCCCCAAGAAGTTGAAGAGTTTGCAAGTGAATGTGCAAGCGAGAAGCTGCAATTTCTGCAGAAAAAAAAAATACTTGGGATGGAGATTGTTCCTCTAATCCTTTCATTGCCAAAAAGTCAGAGAAAACAAAATGATAGGTTGAAAATTGAATTTTTGTGTAGGCTTGGCCTGTTGCTTTGAACTTTTTCTGCGTGTTGGGGACTCACTAATCCCTGTTCTGTTGTGCCGTGCGCCTCTGCAGCCGCCACAGGAACCCTTGGAGACCCCAGTCGCGTCGTGCCATCGGGTGCCCTCTTTCTGTAGAGAAATTTGGTCATTTTTAAAACATAAGTGGGGTTGCACAAGTTATAAAGGTGAGGGAGAGTTTCAGCAGTGAGGAACCTGGGCTTGGGGAACGAAGCAAATTTGATTTTCAAGAGAAGGGGGCTGTGGGAACAGAAAAGGAAATCCCACGACCTGTTGTTGTTGTTTGGGTTTTTTTGTATTTTTTTCTGCCCCATCTGTCAAACACAGGGATAATACCTCTGGGGCTGCTTATTCTTCTCCATCATTTGAGGCTGGGGAAAGCAGTACGGTCAGAGCGTAAATTATACGTGCCCTGGAGCTCCTTTGCGTTATCTGAAGCTTCGGCACAACTGAGAGTAAGGGCTGTATCAAGGAGCAGTGATAAATGTTTGCAAAATACATTAAAGATAAAACCCACGGTGTTAATAACGACCGGTGCTATGCTGTTTTATCATATTACATTGACAGTAGCTAATGGACAGGAGGTCGTCGGAAGGAATTTCTTTTTTATTTTTAGTAGCTGTGAGAAGACCCCTTTGAAACCTTCACCCCGATGTGCTGGAGGAGTAATGAATCACAGCCTCGGCGTGATGTTAGGATTCAGCACCACGCCGTGTTTTCAGGCGCGAGGCGATGAATATTGTTCGGCGGACGCGTTGCCTTGTTAGTGTGGGTTTTTTTGAAAGGGTTCATTGAAGTGTCTTGCCATAAAATTATGCTTTGATCAGATCCATTTGCCGTTAATGAATCCAGATGGGTTAGCGGCAACTGGATTGTAACTCTCTGATAATACACGCGCTGCCTTTCATTTCCTCGCGCCGAGTTTTAGAAGATCCTGCGCCGGCCCAGCTAACGAGTCCAGCTGTATTAACATGGCCTAATGCATCCTAATACACAGCATCCCCAGGGACACATGCAGATGTGTCAGGATTGCTTTGGAAAAGGTTAAAATGTTAGAGAAAAAACAGCCTATATGTATCTAGTACAGCCTTCTTTCATATGGTAATTGTCCTTTTTTTTTTTTTTTTAAGTCATGCAAGTAGCTTAGTCTTCTCATTAAATCAAAAGACCTTCTTCTAAAATCAAGATATTGACAGGAGCTTAGCTCTGATTTTAATGTTGTAGAGAGGAGAAAGTAAGTGGGAGAAGCTCTGTGGAAGCCAGCAGTAGCCTCCCTTTTAACGTATGGTCTTTGGGTTTTTAAGTTGTAGTTTTCTCGGATATTGAGTTATGAAATGAAATAGAAATGGGGCAGGTTGAGAGCAGCTTTGATTCCTCTTCATGTGGTTGCGTGTCCTAGGCATGAAGTTCACTGCGATGGGAGGACACGAGGAAGGATGGATCCTTCCCCTAATAGAGAGCAGGTAATGGCATGGGTCTCCAAAAAACCCACCCGTCTCTCACCAGTAAAATACCAGTGGAAAACAAAATGATTATCCACACAAAGAGGCAAATCATTGCTTTTGGTTTCCAGGTTGCTACACAAGTCAGGAACTTTGAGGTTTTCTTCTTCCCTGTGCAATTTCCCTATGTAACTGCCCCACTGTAAAGGGTCAAGATCAGCCCCAGAAGGAGATGGTTGGATTTGGACCGACAAGGCAAATTCTTTATTTCCCACGTGTGCAGTCAGAGATTTCTTGTGACTTTTGTAAGCATGTCAGAGAGCCACCTTGATCTCTGCTGAGAGACAAACATGGCTGTGGGAGCACATTTAAACCCATTTTGGTGCAAAGTGAGTTCCTTTTACAGAACCCCCTTGCACTGAAGGTGTAATTATGCCCTAGTGGATCCGATTGATCTAATTTCCCCAAATTAACACGTAATTTTCACACCTCACTTCCCAACCCAACCTACATGGTTTAGGGTTTCCTCTCAAAGGAAAGGAGCCAGATCAATGTCTCATTTTAGTGAGATTTGGGTGAATTCTTAAAAGGCTTCTCTTACCCTCACTGGGGTCAGCTCAGTGTCCCGGCACGCTGGTGGCCAAGCAGTGGGGATGGAGGCACCTCTGGGACCATCTGCCCTGTGGACCTCCCTTCAAGTATTTATGGACATGGATAAGATCCCTCAGAGCCTCCTCTTCTCCAGCTCCAGCTCTCTCAGCCCTTCCTCGTGGCAGAGGTGCTCCAGGCCCTTCAGCATCTTGGTGGGCTCTTTCTAGTACGCCCAGGTCTCTCTTGTACTGGGTTCTTGTCCAGTTCATTTGCTCATGATGACCCCAGGTTGCAAATCGTTTAGGGTTGGTTGGCCTGACCCATGGGCATCCAGTCCAGGGTGGGATTGAATTTGTTTTAAACCACAGCTAATCGTAGTAACAGGAGAAGCAGCATAGACACAAACAGAGGTGGCTGTGCCAAAATACATTTTTCCTTGGACAAAACAATCCCGAAGTGTTGCTAGTTGTGATACGAAAGGTCAATGGTTTGCTTAGGAGCAAGTTAATGCAATGTGAGGGTGACCAAAGAGGAATTCCCTCCTCCAAGTGCAGTGGAGAGCCAAAGATGTCTCAGGCACAGCATGGTTGGTGACTGAGCCTTCATTTAACCCCCCCTGCTGCCCTCATGCTAAGGAATAATCCGTGCTCTGACTGAGGATGAGGTCTGCAGATGTGGTTTTTTTTTTTACCAAATCAGGGCCAGGTAGCGGAGCAAAATCAATTCCTGTCACTCACGGGGAACTCTGGAGGAGCAGGATTATGGAGCAGGGCGATGCTGCCGCGCTTTAATCTGGAAATCAATACAGAGAAGGAAGTTGGGCTTGTGGGGATATTGCAGTGACTGTGATTTCGGTTTTGATGAGATTTTGCTCTGCAAACAACTGAGTCACTAACTCCTCTTCACAGCCTGATTAATACAGAGAAAAAGCTAAAATCAGCCTTGATGCAGCTCTCTGGAAGTCCCTGGAGTACTCCCGGTATAGCTGGAGTCCAGAGTTTCTCAAATGAAGCACGGCTCCCAGATGCTTCAGTCTCCTTCTTTGCCTTTGTGCGTAGCTCAGGAGCAGCCCTCTGTTGTGCTGAGCCTGATATTAATACAATAGGTGTCATTCTGGGACTTTGATAACCTCCCTTCGTGATTGTTTAGAGAAACAAAATCAAATACAGCAGGCAGGTCACCTCGGGGTGCCTCAGAAATCCCCAAATTCATACAGGGTGCTGTAAATCCAGGATGCTATCAGATGCACAGTACCTCCTTCTTCTGCAGGCTGTCAAAAGTGCCTCATCCATAGGCTGGGGAGGAGCATTTTCGGTTTGCAGCTTTGCCCTGTTGTTCCCGTGATCATAATAACACCGCTTGTCATAACAAAAGGATTGCAAGGTGCTACTTAACCCTCGGCCTCAGCAGCGAGCTTGTCCCCAGCACGTACAGTTCATACAAATGTGAGCCGTGGGTGTAACCCCTAGTCGTTAGGATGCGATCAGGGAGTCCAGAATTACTGGTCAGGCTGAAAGGCTCAGTGTTGGAAAGCCCAAGCAGAGCCCAGCGAAGCTGCGAGTACCTGGTTCCTCTAAAAATCACACGTCTGAATTTTGAGGCTTCACCTGGTGAATAAAAGACCCAGAGAACTGCACCGGTCCTGAGCCACTGGCTCAAAAAGCCAATCTCTCCCAGACCCAATATTCAAAGCCCTAAGCCATCCCTCTCCCTTGGTTTCTGCTTTTTCCTCTTCTGTTCTGCTTTCCATCACTTAGTGACACGGGCGGTTCCAGCATCTGCTCGGCGTCAGGGAGAATCAGCTGTACGGTTGCATCTGTGACACTAATTAACACAACACGAGGCAGCTGAAATTAAGATATCCGTTTAACCTCTATTCACGCTCGTACTTGCCTTTCTCTTCCAGAGCACGGTGATCGTGGAGAAGACTGTCCAAGACCTGATGAACCTGATGCATGACCTGAGCGCCTATTCGGATCAGTTCCTCAACATGGTGTGTGTGAAGCTCCAGGAGTACAAGGACACCTGCACCCTCGCCTACAGGTATGGGCAGGATTGGAGGTACTGCCCTCGTGGTTTTGCTGCTTGACATGAGTACAAAGGATCTACTTCTGGAAATATCTCTGCTGGGACACTCAGGAATAGGTTTTTATAGGTGGGGGGAAAATCTGAAATAGGAAGTTGTAGGAAGAGTCTTGGTTTCCCAGGGACTTTTGGCACACCACGCTGTGGTTTAGGCTTTTTAAATGTGGATGAGAGTGGAAGAGTGCTTAGAAACCACACAGCTTTTATCTTCATCGGGCAAAAGGTGGCCTCAGGTTGGAGATGGAGTATAAGGCATCATATTTGACTTAACCACTTGCATATATCTACTGCTTGCTTGTAAAGCAAGTCAGGTCCTTCCATTTCATCCATTCAATTCTTTGTTCCCAGGAAATTCACACTTATATTTTAATTAATTATATCAAGGTTGTGGTATTCAGATCTCATGGCAACGTTGGAATTCATAACCCCAGCACACCATTTAAATACACACACACTGGATTTTGTGGCACTTTCCCCAAACCTTCCCGTAAACTTACTCTTTCGAGGGGCCATCAAATGCTCTGTCCTGGGCTGTTCATCAACATTTTGGGGGCATAGCTCTCACCCAAACCATGGTGTGGAAGCTAAACTCAGCCTCCGGACACAGGGTTTGAGTCCTTTGGGCACTTTATCGCAGATTGCCTTGGTAACCAGTGCTAAATAACTTATTCTCTGTACATCTCAGCTGCCCATCTGTAAAATGGCCCTCCCTGGAGAGGGGGGCCAGCGACGTGCCCCGCACCGCGGGGATAAATACTTGCATTGAAAGACACTAAAGATGCCGTGGCAATGCGAGCTATAATAGCCGCTATACATAATCTCCTTTAATAGCTAATTGAGGCTGGCGATAGCAGGGGAAGCTGAAAAAGCCCCTTGTGTTTTCTGACCAAAAGCATTAAGAAATTATTTCCTATTGCCTGATTTCATTCAGAAGGAGCTTCATCTGGCGAGCGGCTGCGTACGGTCTCATTATTATTATTAATAACAGCAACAATAGCAGTGAGCACATATGTGGGCTAAACGGCGTCCGGGCGCTCGTGGAAATCGGTAGCTGTGTGTGTGCCATTGTCCAAAAGGCTCGTGTTTTATGTGAAACTTCACTGACTGCAGCCAGACAATGGATATAATTTCTCTGGCTTGAATTTACAGGTCCTTCCTTCCTTCCTTTCCTGATACCATTCCTGGCTTTGGCACCTGCTGAGGCGTAATTAGGACAGCCCTAATTTGGCAATATCCTGATTACAGCAGGAGGAAAAACAGGAAATGTTCTAGTTTTGCTGCTAGCAAATGACTGACTGAAATAGAAATCCATATACATTTCAAATGATTTCGGAGGAGTACAGCAGCCACCCCGCTCTCCTGGGCGAGCGGTTCGATGCACGGGGTCAGCATGCCCTCTGCAGGGACCTCGCGTCGGTACGGCTTGGCACAGACCACAGCTTTCCTTCGGATGGATAAATCTCGAGCATCCTCACGCTGATAAATAAAGTTAGTGGAGGAATGGCCGTTTACAGCCGCCTAAAATCAGGACGCGCTCCTTAGAGCTGGATGCTGATACAATCAGGCGAAGCTGTTGGAGCAAGGAGTGTGTGTCTGCTCTTGAGATGTCTCGAATTTGGGGAGCCAGGGAGATGGTTTATGCAAGATTTGCACATGGCATTCGTTCCTTCTCCATGTGCATGCTGCCTGAAGGGGAATAGGAACAAGCGTGGATTAAATGTATTCAGATACAGGCTCCTCAAAGCAGGGCGGCTGCACTCAGAGTCCTTCACAGCACAGATAGCTCCGTCAGGACGTCAGCGCTAAGGCGTGCAGAGCTGAGATTTTTCTTGTTTGATTTCCACTTGGCTCTGGTTTTCTAGCAAACACAAAAACTAGCAGGGCTGGATGCGAATGGATTGGGCATTTATATAAGTAGCAACTGTAGGTTTTCCTGTGCTTTCATCGATGACAAATTTCGGAAGTGTGTTCTGTCTGAGCTAGGTGAGATGTCTTCAGCAAATCACGTGTGTGTAAGAAGTTCAACACAAACTGTTTACAAATGTGAGTTATGCTTTCTGACGACTTTATGCTGGGGAGTGGGAAATCAGGGATAAAAATGAAAGCAAAAAAGGGAGATAGAGCCACAAAACCTCCTGCGGTGTTAGCAGCGTCATCCCAAGTCTGTCCATCCCACATCTAGCTGCTTCTTCAACAGATTTCTTTGAGAACAGTTCTGCTCAGGAGTTAAATGAGTAGTTAAACTGTTTTTACTGGGCTTTGGGAGGTACTGAAAGGCCACACAAGAAACTGTAGGGATGGGATAAAATCTGACCAGTTCAAGGTAGCTATCTCTAAGATTAGCCTTTCTTTTTAGCCTCTTGCCAGCACCCTTCTCAGAAAAGCTTTGCTGTTTTGAGATCTAAAATGAATCTCTTTCTGTGTCCTCCTACAACAATTTATCCCATTTCTAATTAAGTTCACATTGAAGTTGCACCTTATTTTGTTGTCCAGCCTTAGGCTCTGTCCTGTGTGTCCACCTGTTTTTTAGCAATCTTTCTTCATCCAGTCTTCCACTGAACAAGTATTTTCTCATGCTTTTTTCAACCTGTTTGAAGAGTCTGAATTAAGTCCCCAAAATGACTCTCCAGTCTGCAAAATGAGATGGACACCTCCAAAGAGCGAATCACGTTAATTAAAACATGGCTCAGCTGTCTGGAGGTGAGCAGCAGCCTCTACCAGCTATGAAGACAGCTTATGGTGACCAGCCTCCTGGTTGAACTGTCTCAGCTGAGTTTGTGAAACAAGGTGGGGTAAAATGGGGTATATCTCTTCAAACATGGAAAAAAAAAAATGTTCCTACTTTCCAGCCAGCCAGCCAAAATAAAACTAAACCCCTTTTTAATAGATAAGGAAATGAGGAGCAGATGGATTCATCCAGGGTCTGCAGTCACAACGGGATTTCTCAAGTTCCAAAGACGCACTCTTTCCACACAGTTTAATACTTCTTACTGACATCTTCTTCTTCTTACATTAACTTTTGATTTCTAAGTGTCTTTTTGGATCTAGAAGCTTTTCCAGGCAGGGGTCTGTCTCCCTCAGGCCGTCAGGTACCCGGCACATGCTGAGCATGCTTCTTTTAAACTCTTAGCGATGCGAGCAGAGCTCAGCGTGGAAAAATCCCCTGGGCCTGGGAAGAGAAAAAATCATTCCCAAATACCATTGGCACAGGGCAACAGAGTGAACAGGGTGCAATTAGCTCCTGTGGCCCACAGATGTTTTCCTAATGAAAAGCCTTGATCCCCAGCTGTGTCTGGAGACGTTCCCCATCACTCAGCCCCCAGCTCAAGGGTCAGCGGTGCCAACCTGGGACCATTTCCACCAGCAGATGTTTTCTGGATAAAAACCACTGAGCCGTGGAGGGGCAAAGCCTCTTGCACATGTGCCATCACCCGTGAAATCGTTCACCTATTCCCTCCCCACTCCCAAAAGCTGGGTACAAACAGATGGCATCTTCCTTGGCCCGTTGAGCTGTGAATTAATTAGCTGATTATGGCACTGGTGGCGGCGAGTAACCCTATTACAGCAGCAGGAGTAATTGTGTAGGATTTTGGGAGAAGGGGGGTGTTTGGAAGGAAGCACTCTGAGCTGTACTAAAACATGTCACCCTACCTTGTGATAATTGACTCGAGGACCCGAATTAGGTTGACACTGATAGGAAGTTACGGAGGCAGAAAACTGGCTGAGATGTTAGAAAGAAAAGGTGGGGGGGAAAGGTGTCTGTAATTGATGGTGGAAGCTGGGCTTCTAACGGAGATCAGGGTCTGTTCCACCTTGTTTACCATCCTTCTTAATGAGGGGGTGGTTGGAGTAAAACCAACCTGTCAATAAATATTAGGAGGCGTTGCAACTGTGGGAAAGAATGGGGAAATAATTCAGAGGGACCCACGTGGAAGTGGCAGTGTCCCAGCACTGATAAAGTAGAAGCACCCTTTTGATGTAAATGAAGAACTCTGCCAAGGTCTCCAGTGGCTCATGGTCCCATGAGTAAAATATCACCAAAAGGTAAGGAATCGTGTGAGATAGGCTCTTGGAAAATACTGCCCTAGAAAAGCAAGGGCACCCAGCTCAGACTGGAACTTGCTATAGCAGCCAAACGGATGCCTGTCTCTCCTCCCCTGACACCCACTCCAGAAAGTAGTAGGGTTTTTGAGGACAGCAGATGGTAAAGATCATAAAACAGAGAGGTAGCTCTGCCCTCTGACTCCATCAGAAGACTCCCAAAGATGAGTTTCATGCGCAGACATCTGAAGGGCTACGATACCACTGTAAATAATTGACTATGGAGGCTGAGTGCTGAGGCTGCTATAAGGGAAAATAACGGGGAGTAATGGGATGAAACTGAGTAAAGTAAAACATGAGCACAGTATTGGGATTTTTTTTTTTGTCCAAGAGTTAGATTTGTTCATCTGTGAAATAGACTCCCAAGGGAAGGAGTCTATTACTTCAGTCATTTAAATCTGGAAAGGACAAAGCACTGACTAATATATTCAGGGGAACAGTTGTCCTGCCTTGGCGGAGAAATGGCCAAATATCATCAAATTCAGTTTTTCCAGCTCAGATGTCAGAGATTCTGGTGGAATGTGTTTTTTTTTTCCAGGGTGTTGAGCAGAGCCCTTTTTTCATAAACGGAAAAACACTGAGCTCCTAATAGCAGCAGAAGGCCAAATTGATATTTTGATGCCGAGGTCTTCTGTGGCTGGAAACAGAACTCATTCTTTTCTGTCTGTGGCAGATTGAACATGAAATTTAAAGATAAGGAAAATTCATATTTAAGTGCATGTGACAAATTCATTTTCACAAATCCTGTGTACTTACTGAGCAGAGGTTGTATTCTTGGTGGCAGGTGAAAGGAGTGATAGGTTGCTCCGTGCTGGTGGGAAAAGAAGTCATCTCGGTTTCACGATAGATCAGTGTTGGCTCAGATCTCGATGCCATTTTCACTCTTCTCCTTTTCCAAACACATACACTCAGTGTGTTGTTACTTTTATTTCTATTTATTGACAAAACATGCCTTTCAGTTGATTTAAAACGAGACTGGTTAATCCACGTAACCCTTCAGAAACCTTCAGGGTTGGTATTGTACAACCCTTCCCAAAATCACCACCTGAATGGCGGTGAGCTCTGACTGTGTGCCCCATGACCACCCTATTATCATCATGTGTGTCATCCAGAAGTGTGCAGCCTGATAAATGCCCCTGTGAGGTCCAGATTAAGCTGATGTGGGTTGAGCCAGCACAGACACGTTCATACTACAGCACCCAGTGACTCTCAGCTGACAGAGCCAGCCCTGAATCTCTGTATCTTTTCCATCCTCAAAGTTTCTGCCTTCTTTGGAGAAGCCAGTTTGTCTGGGGGACAGTAATAGAAAAACATCAGTCCGGTGTTTGCACCTTGTCAGCCCCTCCCGTTGTAGGACACAGCAAAGATGCATTAATTCTGGATGCCTTGAGCAAGGGGCTATGGGTGTCGGAGGGGCAAACACAGGTCCAGGGTGTTTTCTGTGTTTTTCCTTAGTAGAAGAAGATCCATCTCTTAGAGTAAAAATAATCCCACTGCTGCCCACTGCAGGGAACATCTGCTTCTTCTTGGGCTGGAGAAGCAGTCTAGTTGGTCACCATGAGGATTGCCAGTGAAGGAAATCAGTGATAGGATGTCAAAGGAAACACCAGTACCCCTAATTCCAATTTACCTTCTCTAAGAGGGTGAAAAACACTTCCCAGATACTTGCAGTTTACTGAAAACCCAAGAGAGGGAGAGGACTCTCAGATCACTGGTATGCTGGTGAAATAGCAAGCATGGAAGAGCACTACACTGTGTGTGCTCATGGTTGTGCATGAGCAATCCCAACTCAAAAAATAGGCAGCTAATTGACTCCTCCACGCAGAGCATCCCTTTTGTCTCCTGCAATTGTCGGTGAGGATTTCAGATCACTTACATTGCCAAAAATATTAAACAGGGGAAACCTTCGTAATTGGAATATGCTGTGATCTTTGATTCGATTTCACACGTACATGCGATTAAGCTGAAAACTATTATCAGATGTTTTGGATGGCCGGAGAGAAGATTGGGGACCCTTTGTTCCCTTTCCTTGCTTCAGACCTGCTCCCCAAGCGGGGCCAGCTGGTGTGCGGTGAGCTGGTGGCTTCCACCCAGGTCTGCCTGGGCAGGTTTCCACATTGCAGGCACAGCACAATCAGCAGCGGCTGGCGGGCTCGGTTGAGATTGCAGAGAAGAAATGAGCTGTAGAGAAACTGCCTCCTCGCTCTCGTAGTGCAGGATGACCTACTCTGGTTGTATAAATGGTGTTAAGTTGGGTGATTTTTCAAAGGAGGGGACAATATGGCCATTTATCCCTTGAGGGACTATCAAAGTGCATCAAGAGTTGTGAGCTTGAGAGGAATTTGTGTCATAGAAACGTAGAATCATTAGGGTTGGAAAAGCCCTCTAAGACCATGTGGTCCAACCATCCCCCTACCACCAATGTCACCCACTAAACCATGTCCCCAAGCACCATGTCCAACTTCTCCTTGAACACCCCCAGGGATGGTGACGCCACCACCTCCCTGGGCAACCCGTCCCAGTGCCTGACTGCTCTTTCTGAGGAGAAATATCTTGTAATTTCCAACCTGAACCTCCCTGGCACAACTTGAGGCCATTCCCTCTAGTCCTATCACTAGTTATCTGTGAGAAGAGGTATCGTGTCCACTTGTGTTGCTGTGCCCTCCACCTATTTGCTGAATTAGTTTTTGGACCCATTCTTTAGTACTGTGTGGTTTGCACATTTGTATGTGACAGCGATTTTAATTAATAAGTGTGGAATCACGTGAAGAGTACAGTTTGCTGTATAAGGACATGAAACTTTTGGAGAGTGTCTAGAGAAGGGCTACAAAGATGGTGAAGGGCCCAGAGGGGAAGACGTACGAGGAGCAGCTGAGGGCACCGGGTCTGTTCAGCCTGGAGAAGAGGAGGCTGAGGGGAGGCCTCATGGCGGCCTGCAGCTTCCTCATGAGGGGGAACGGAGGGGAAGGAGCTAATCTCTTCTCTTTAGTGACCACAGATAGGACCTGAGGGAGATGGTGTCAAGCTGAGGAAGGGGAGGTTCAGGCTGGACATCAGGAAGAGGTTCTTCACCGAGAGGGTTGTCACACACTGCAGCAGGCTCCCCAGGGACGTAGTTATGGCACCGACCCTGTCAGAGTTTAAGAAGTGTTTGGACTGTGCTCTCAGTCCTATGGTCTGAATTTTTGGGTAGACCTGTGTGGAGCCAGGAGTTGGACTTGATGATCCTTATGGGTCCCTTCCAATTCGGGATATTCTCTGATTCTGTGATTCAGTGCTTTGCCCTGATGCGATTGCTGCTGCTTTCCCACAGGAGCATCGTGCAGTCGGACGAAAAGCTGGTGATCAGCGCCTCCTGGGCTAAGGATGACGACATTAGCAGGCTCCTGAAATCTCTGCCCAACTGGAGCAACATGGCTCAGCCCAAGCAACTGAGACCCAAGAGAGAGGAGGAGGAAGACTTTATAAGGTAAAATATTTTATAGCCAAAGTTGTTAGAGGGTTTTAAAGACAGCAGCAACAATGGTAAAATGTTCTGGAAACAAAGTAATTGCGGTGTTTGCATGGCTGTTGTGTATCCAGGTATGAGAAGAGTTTGAGATGTGTTTTTTTTCCTTAAGTGGAGTAATAAAATTTAAGTCCACATGCCTTTATGTGGAAGCACCAGCTTTGCCAAACGGAGAATTTCCTGCACGTTGCCTGTGTTTCGTTCTGCTGATGGTAACAAGAAACCATTAGGGAAATGTGCTGGTTTGGAGACGTGTCTGGGCTCTGTTTATCAGCGCCTGTCTCATGATGGATTGATAGCTAAACCATCCTGCAGCTCTTTATCCTTCAAGAGAAAGAAGAAAGTGGAGCTTCTGCTCTGATGCAGCAGGAACAGAAGAGAGGGAGGCCACGGGTCAGCAAGGAGGCTTCAGTGGCAGCTCCAGCTTACTTCTTTCTTGCACTTCTTGACTATTCCTGCTTGTTCAGGCACAGCTCTTTGAAGAAATGTGCTTGTGAAACAAGTCAGGAAAGTGGCTGGGATTGGGGAAGGGATGAAAGGGTTGTTTTTAATTCAGGCAGATCCTCGTGGTGCTTGATGATGCTACCCTGGTGACCCATGCAATGCAGAGAGCACCGGTCTGTGACCTTATAGTGGGGACAGGGATTCCCAGAGCTGGTGTTGTCACCACAGCTGCCCTCTGTTTGAGCTGGGACCCGGTGGTGTTTCACCTCCACCCTGAGCCCAGCAGCTATTAAGGAGAGCCAAGAGTTCACCGGTCTTGAAAAGCAGTGGTAGCTCCAGAGGGGATTCGTGCAGAGGCAGCTTTCTGTATCCAAACAAGATTGTTTCATCCTTTTCTTTTTAGGCAAGTGGAAATCTGTACACGGGCAGATTGCCTTTCCTTGCACACTGTAAATCTCTGAGTCTTTGAATCATTGGCTCATCCTGAAGAAATGGGCCCTTTTTGTCATTCCAGCGAGTCAAAAAGCTTGTCTACACATCCCCATCACTATTCATCACATCCTTGATTGGCATTTGGCTATAAAACAGTAGGAGTAAGTGAAGCTGTTGAAAATTAAAGTCTAATTTGCCCAGATTGTCATTTTACTTATTCACTGACTGCAAGCACAATAACATAAAGATGATGCAGTCTAGAGAGAGGAACGAAAAAAGTACAAAATACATCTAGTCACAGAAATGCTCGCTTGTACTGCTGTGGGTACTGCAGTAGGTATGGCAATCAGCATCACCAGTGTTTTAAAAAGTCTTCAGTGACACTGGAAGAATCATACAATCACAGAATCATTTGCAAAGTCCTTGAGATCTTTGTGTTGGTTTGTTTTTGTTTGTTTGTTTGTTTGTTTTTTGAGACTTTTGGATCTAGTTCCAACTTCCATCTTTCGCCAGTTAGATTTCTCCTTTGTTTCTTGGCATGGATGAGTGCTGGGATGCCCTCCTGGCTCCTTCTGTGATTTCTGAGCCATCAACATGGGACACCAGAGCTCCCATGGATACAGAGCTGGGTACTACTGCCTGAGTGTAACCTGCTAGCATAAATTCCTGGCCAGGCTAAATCTGATGGCCAAGCTTAGCCTGATGATAGCAGTGCCAGTATTTTGCTCCTAATGTGCATTTTATTCCAATATTGTCATTTTACTATCCATTAATTGAAGTTTTTTTTTGAAGTTGTATCAGAGATGTTAGAATAGAAAGCCCTATTAGGTCATCTACATTGAATTCCCTGAGAAAAGCTCCTGTACTCTGCCTTTTTTTTTTAGCCTAGATGGTAGAACAAAGATCTTTTCTCAGTATCTGTTTGCACAGAGCATCATGTATTAAGCCCCAGTTCCTCAGAGTGCTGTTAGAATGCTCCTGTAGCATTAATTTAAATGATAATAATTGGTCTGGGCCAGTTTTAGCCATTGATGGTAAGCGACATGGCTTATAAACTTCTTCAAGAATCTGTGCATGGTTGAATAGGTCTCTCCCGAAAGCTTCAAAAATAAAATTAATTGCTTGTCCAATTTTTTGTCATCTTCTTTCCACTTATGCACACTTTTTTCAGCCTTGCTCCTAATACAAAGGAACATGATTTCTTTGCCGCTGTTGCTTCTTTCTCTCCCTCCTGGCACTGCTGAAGAATTGGGAATAATTCTGCCTTAGCTATCACTACCTGAAGGCTGCTGCGGAGCCAAAGGGAAATGGGTCTTGCCCAATTAATATCTCGGTTAGGGTCATCTCTGTGATGAGAGAGCCTGGGAGAGCTCATTTCATTCTCACTTGAGTCATACAAGCTATTGAAAACACTGACACGTAGAAACCCACCTGCATTCACCAACCCAGCTCCTCAGCTACCAGGGACAGGACTAAGCATCCTTTTGCTGGAAAGGAAGGTTTAAGCTTGGTGAAACGAGGGAGCATGTTCTGTCTGGACATAAAACAGGGCTGACAGCAGGGCATCGAACTACTCGGCAGCATCCCGTTATGAACGTTGCTGAATTAAATAGGTCCTGAAAGTTTGCCACTAGTTTTTGGATCGTGGCAGGAGGAGCCATCAGTGCACTGCTTTCTTCTCCTCCGCCTCCTCAGGTTTCCTGGAACTCATTTGTTTAATTAAAAGGAAGAATCCAAATGCAGTGCCTTTGCGAAAAAAAATCCTCATGCATATCTGTGTTGACAGTGATTGATTCTGTTGTCTTAACCTGCCACTATCTCTTTTGCGAATAGATGTCAAAAGGCAGAGTAAGCTACTAGCAGAATCTCTCCATTAATATTCTGGTGTGGTTGGCCAGACAAAGGGACCTGATTGAGCATATTATAGTAGCTCGGAACTTGGCAAGGGGAGAAAGGAAAAGAAAAGTCATGCCTCCATTCGTATAATTAGTTTTTAAAGCTCTGAAGGCTATTTGGCACTGGGGCGAGTGTGAAATATGCTGCCCTTATCGCTTTATAAAGGTTAGCCTTCAGTTCATTACTGAATCAGATATGTTGGTGATAAAACCCAGAGATGTATCATTTCCAGGTTTGCCTTTGACGAAGGAAAGCAATGTAAAAAGAGCTTCAGATCTGGTCACACTTGAGTTGTAGCAGAAATTCCTCGTTTTCGGTGCAACTCTGCAGCAGAAGGAGTGGCAGGGGCTAAGGACATGCTGCACCCAAGGGGAGTTACGTGTTTGGGGAGCTGAGGAGGGTGTGTTGGCAATTCATGGGGCAACACATCTGCCTGGAAACCCCAAGGTGGTCTGAACATCACCCCCCAACACAGATTATTACGGTTGCAGATCAGAGATGCCAAATCCGTGTTAGGAGGAGGATGGAGTGATTCCATTTCCTCTCACCTTTTGACTCCAGCAGGCTCCTGAACACCAAACTTGGGATCAGATTCTCAGGCTACAGCTCATGTAACAGTCTAAAAACCCCACTCCCAGTGTTTCCATGTACCACAAGCCTTTTCTTTTCACTGCTTTTCTTTTTCTAATGGGGATAACCCTGCCTGCATAGTGCTCCAGCTGCCTGCTGCATCTCCCGTTCACCTGCAGATGCTCATCCTCAGTTGCTCTGCACCAAAAGGAAGGGATGTATTCAAACAGTGTGGAAGGATACCTGTGCAACAGCAGATCCTTCACCAAATTCTCCCAAATGGTATTGCTCAGGACAGTTACACTATCCCTGCTTAAATAGGATCTCTTCTCTTCCCTTGATTTAGGCACTGCTGTCCCCTGCCAGTGCTTCCAGTGTAAAACTGGAGCCTGCTTGCAGAGTTGGGACTGCATTGGAGATCTTTCACTGTTGGAAAAGACAAAAATGTCAGGACAAAATGAAAGCAAGGATAGACTAAAAGGAGATCCACCAGAATGCACGGAAGGAGCAAGAATCATACCCTTCAGTTTTGGGGGTATGAATGTCGATACCTGAGTGTCGGCCAAGTCCAGCGGCTGCTCCTATCACAGGCTTGAATTGCTTCAACTGCTTCCAAAGGGATAGACGTGCTGAACATTTTCTGTTGCATAAATAAACAGTCTGCAGAACTGGGAATGAGTTGGGACAATTTGCAGTGGGCCTTCAAGTCCTTCCTTCATGCAAAATTGAGAGCCACGATGCCGGGAGCACAGAGCTCAGGTCCTGCCTTGGGGTAGGGGGCTCTCCCCTTCTTCTACCTCTCTGGCAGCCAGGAGGCACCGGTGAAGGTTTTAGTCAAAAGCTAGATCTTAGGTTGTTCCACCTGCTGTCTGATGGGTGTTTTTTGCCACATTATAGTTTGGAGCTTTCCATTATTTGTATTGCCTTTTGATGCCTGAAGCCCTGATGTTTCATGGATGAATTTTCCCTTTCTTTACCTCTCATTTTCAATTTCCTTCCCATTTTCAATCCCATTTTCAAATTTAATTTCCTTCCCATTTTCAGCCCTGGCTTTCCTGTCTTTCTTTCCTTGTTCCTTTCTCTCTCAAGAATAAAAGGCCTCCCTCTCCAACTTCCCAGGCTCTACTTATTGTATTCACAACACTTCTAAAGGGGGAAAGAACGGTCTTGGAAGATTAGCAGCAGACTTTGTAGACGTTTTTCCTCTACTGGGACGATGAATCTGGGTGTGCCGTAGGTGTGAGTCATTTCCATTTGATGACAGTCTGCTCCTTTCTATGAAATGAGTTTCTAGATCTCTTCTTGGATCTTAAGAAAAACATGTACCAAATGGCCTCATCATGAGCTACAATTGATGCTAAATCCTGTTGCTGTCAGGAGTTTTGTGTGAGAGGCATTAAATAAAGTGAGCCTCTGGATCTTCACAGGATCTTCCCTTTGTCTTCTGAAGACAAAGAAGTTTGGGGCATTTGGGTTGCGTTTGGGGGTTTTGATTAGTTTGAGGAGGGGGCAGTTGAGGGTTCTGTGTGTTCCAGACCTGAATCCAGCAAGAATCTCCCAGCTTCAGATTGATTTATCCTACAAATTGCAATATCTATTGAAATATTGAAATATACCTC